GACGACGGGATATTATTCAGGCATAAAAACAACTGAACTTTGGATAAAAACGACACCATGCGTGAATCCTTTACTGTGCTCAAGAAAGCAGACACTGATATAACATCCCCAGGATGGGCCAATCCATAAGAGACAAAACACAGGCTGGTGGTTGCCAGGGGCTAAGAGGAGGCGGGGTAGGGACTGACGACTATTGGCTCAGGGAGTTGACTTTGCAATAGGGGGAGAGGTTTTGGAAGCAGACAGAAGACGGTGGTTGTACGCCACTGTGGATGAACTAAGGCCCTTTTAAAATGATGACTTTAGTGTTATGTGAATATCACCTCAACAACTGATGTTTAAAAACCACAAAAGTGAAAGGAAGACCGGCTCCTCCCAGCTCCCCTCCTGTAACCTGACCAGACTGAGGACCAGCACCGCTCACTACCCCTTGCCTGCTCCTCTCTAGATGTCACGGTTTATTGAGCCATAAATGTGGGAAAGTGGAGTTGCAAGGAAGCAGATGTTGGAGTGCCAGGGAAGCTGGTACTGCAGGCCAGGAAACATTTTTATTTTTGCTGTTACTTGATCTCATTTATTTGGTGCCCATCCTGAGGAAGGGGAGTAGTGTGGTTAACATGCTCTGCTGCAAATTGAAAGGTTGGTGGTTCAAGCCCACCTAGAGGTGCCTTGGAAAATCCAGCCGTTGAATCGGCACCCCGTTAGAATGCAAGACTATGGATTTTGTGTATTTATTCTAACGGTACCTTTAGTTGATGACACGCTGTAGGATAAGTATTGGATTGCTAACCACAAAGTCAGAAGTTCAAATCCACCAGCTGCTTCGTGGGAGAAAGATGAGGCTTTCTGTTCCCATGATGTACAGCCTTGAAAACTTTGGAGTGGACTTAATGGAGGTGGGTTAGTTGATACTTGGTTCTTTCCACTGGTAGGAGAGTTTCTCTTTTAATTGAACTGAAGAAGTCCAAAGAGTGAATCGTTCAGTGTTAAGTGGCATGCATTGAGGTGGGCATGGGGCCACGATTGTGGGGGGAGGGGCACTGTTCCAAAGTGAGACAAACAGAGCAAGGTGTCTGGAGCTCAAGGCAGAGGCTGGGCAGGGTCCAGGCTTGTCCCAGGCCAGGGGCACTGTGGGGCACACTTGCTCATGGATTCCCGGGCAGGCCCATGTGGTCGGGCTCGGTGATTCACAGCCATCTTTGAAGAACACAGCATTACAGGCACCGAGGGTTTTTTCCCACCTCCCCAAAGAGCCACGAGGAGGCAGGGCAGGAGGAAAGGGAGTTTCCAGCAAGTGGCTGGGAATTGGTCTTCCCCTAGAAGGCTGCCACAGGAGACCAATCCACTGATGGGCCTACCACTCACCATTGTTGCCCTTCTCCCTTTGGGCAGCCAGTGGGGGACGCACTGATAGGTCTATGGGATGCATCTTCGCGGCACACACTACAAATGAGGAAGCAGAGATGTGAAGAGGCTACCACACAAGCGAATGACCAGTCCTGGGAGTGACGCTGGTCGAGAGGGCGGAGGTTGGCCTGTCTCAGAGTGGGTTGAGCCCGCCAGGCCTGGCTTCCACAGCACCGCTCCCCCTCCCCACCCCCGGCCCTGGGTTGAGCACACATCCTTGAATCCTCACTACTATGAGGTGAGCCTCACTACCCTCAAGGCGGCAGGGCAGTGAGTTCCAGGGTGGGCCCACTACAGAGCCCTAGAGGACAGGATATACATACTGAGTACCCACTTGGTACCTGGCCCTGGCAAAGGGCTCTCAGCCTGCTGTTGTCATCTCGGGGGGTCTGACGAGGGCGGGTGTAGCTCTGGCTTTTGGACAGTGTTCCAGACAATTGCAACATGCATTCTCGCCGGCTGAAAAATCACTGTTTATCGCCTTCCTGTCCACATTCCAGAACCTGTGAAAAACAATCTGGGGTTTCGCAGATGCAGTCCTAGGTTCCCCAGATGGTTGCTGAACCCCATTGAGCCTCAGTTTCTCCTGTGCAGGGGGCCCTGACCTGTCTTGAGGTCATCATTGGATTCATGTGTGGGAAGGTCTAGTCCACCATGTATTCCCCCAGACATCCTTCCAGCAAAACTCCTTGACTAGACTGAAGTCACTGATAAGCATGGATGCCCTCGAGTCCATAGGGTCAGGGCACCCAGTAGAAATGACCTCGGTGAGCTAGAGTCCAATCTCACTTAAGGGGTCTGGGTACCTTCAAGGATGGGGAGCTAGCTGGTCAGAAGCTGGACACACATACAGAAGAGGCTGCCCACTTACGGTGGCATCCTGTTGGAGGAGAGGGGGTCCCAAGTTTGGCCATTTGGGTCAGACTTGGGTTCCACCTCGATGGCCCCGTGGAAACAGAGCTCCTCCTCAGAGCACTCTGGCTAGACTTGAACTTCTGGAGAATCTCCACCCGGTGTTCAGGGATTCCCAGGATTCACGGGGGTGTGCCGGTGTGGACTGTAACTGGGTACAGCCAGCAGACTTCACCCAACTCCGTCTCACAGAGGGAGCCCTGAATTTTCCTGAGTCCTTCTCTGTGGTGACATACCCTTCTGTGTGGACACGCCCAAGTGTCCAGCTGGGCTCTGTAGCTCTGCACTCCACAGAAGTAGAGTCTGAGGTGCAGGTTTGGGAGCCACCTGAGCCTTGGGTGATGGGTTATAAAACATGGATCTAGCTCACTGCACCTGATGGAGCCCTGGACACCAGAGAGGGGATCCCAGCCTGGGAGGAGGGCTTGTTCTAGTGTAGGGGGTGGGAAGAGGGCTGTGGGAGCCTGCTGGGTGGAGGTGCCCCCACGGTGTCGAGGAATTGCACACAATACTCTTGGTAACTTTTTCTCTTTTATTGCCAAGTTCAAATTTACAAGGAAGTTCTAGTTTTCATTCCCTCCCTGTGCTAAGTACCCACGAAGCATGAGTCACGCTGGCGAATGTAGGAACTTCCCTAGACTGGCCCCTGGGCCTAGCGAGGTTTCCCAAACTCCCTCATCCCCCCCACCCCTGTGCCTCCCTGGGACAAGGTTATTTACATATTTTCAGCTCAAAGGAACATAGGAACTCTGACAGTGTTTGCCAAATGCCGACAGAACGACATGAAGTAGCTCACATTTATTGCGTTGAGAAAAGGCCAGAACTCAGTCCCCTGGAGTGCATCTTGGGACCCCAGAGAAACCTGGTGTCTTTAACGGGGGGCACATCTTCACATAGCTCCTTGGTCATAGGCCGATGGCAAGTGTGGAGGAGTGGAGGAGTGACCAAGCAGGACAGGTGGATGGAGGTGAAGAATACAGGGACAAGCCCAGCCCAAGCATGGTTGGGAGCCAGACCATAAGCCACCCAAGGCCTCCCTCGCTCTCCAGCTTGGCAGTCTGACTTGCTCTCACCAGCACACTATGGAGCGGTGGGCTCCCAAGGAGGATGGGACTGTCGCGTCTCCATGGTAACATTCAGAGCTGAAGTTTGGGGGTTCACGTGGCTGCCTTGCTCCCCGGCTTTGGTGCACCCAACGATGTACTTGGGGTGGGTGGACCCGGGCACTGCCTGCTTTGAATTTTCTCCAGCACCTTTCTGTGGGGACGCGGCGAGGACGTTGATGGGTTTCTGCAGCTAACCCCAGAAGTCCCCCTGCACAGACAGCCCAGACCTGGATGGCTGGGGTCCTTCATTGGAGCCAAGGCCATTTGTTCATTGCTCCCTCTGGACCATCAGGCCCTAGAACAAGGACAAGCATCCCCTCCTCACCAGCAAGGATGCTGGGGGGCTGTGGGGAGGCAGGTGGCACCTTGTCTAAATAGCCGCCTCTCCAGGTGGGGTCTGCTGAGAGTGGACACAGCTCCCTGGTCCCGCCCAGGAGACTGAAGTCCTGTGTTCTCTGATGGGCAGGTCACAAGCTCTCAGCTGTGTCCTGTTGCCAGGTCCACCCTGACATTGCTCTTGAGTTTGTATCTATCTGGGGGACACGTCCATGGGTCCATGGTGGAGGGCAGGATGAGAGTATTCATCTCACACAGACTGGAAAAAGGGGAGTTGTTTGGCCCAAATGGAGGAGGGTGCTGGGGGGCTTTTCAAACACAAATGAGCATCTTTGCAAGAACTACCACCAAGACCAGCCTGGCGCTCTGAGGCTGATGGCAAAGGGCGAGGCACTGCAAACGTGCACCTGGGGTGGGGTGGCTCCGGGTCTCTCACATGCAATCAGTGCACAGGTGGGGGCGAAGGCTGCTTCCCTCCCTGGGGGTTCCAGAACAGCCTCTGGGACCACAGGAGTTCTAGGCGCTTCTTTCTGAGACAAAGATGGCAAGGGTGGAGAATGCGGCTTGAAAGCTGTCCCAGCTTGGTTACTGTAAGAGAGAGCTGAGGAACGTTGGCGAGTCGGGGAGCTGGAAACACCCTCCCCTCATCACAGGACCTCATTTGGGTTCATGCCAGGACCCTGGGTGGCTGCAGCAAAACTTCTGGCCCTTCAGCTCTGTACCTGAGAATACGTGTCTCTCCCTTATTTTTTGTTTGAAGAATAGTCTAAACTTTCCAGGAAGGGACTTTGCCATTCCACAGGCTGGCAGAGTGAATGAGTATGAGATAAATAAGAATCATTTAAGAAAACGGAGAAAACTGTACTGGGGACTCAAAATCAAAAAACACTGGGAAGTTTCAAGGGAAAACAAAACTGAAATCTTAACAGTAATATTATACTTTTAACATGAGATCAAACCTTAGGGTGGAGGATTTTTTTGGACTTTTTACATAGATGCTTTCGTCGGCTGCCCAAAGTGGAAATAAATATCCCAAGGAGATGTCTAAGTTTCGCTGTTCGACATGTTTCTCCCTTCCTCCTGGGTGCTCCTTGGATAATGACGGAGGAATGAGAAGGCCTCAGTGGACTCTCTCCCAGGAGCTGCTGGGGTTGCTGTGCTGGCTCCCAACACGCCCTTTTGTCCCCTCCACTAGGTCCCCCTCCAGCGGGGCCACCCAGGAGGGACCTCAGCACTGGCTCAGTGCTCGCTGGGGCCTGCTGGCTCCGGAGGATCAGCTTCCTCATCCGGGGCAGCTGTGGGAGGTGAGGGGATGGTGGTGAGAGTGTGGAGGCTGTGGGGGTCCACAGGGGGGACAAGGGTCAGTGACTCCACACTCAGTGTGTCAGTTGAGTCCTCACAGAGCAGGGAGATGGTGGGCTGCAGCGTAGGGGTGAGGCTGGGGGGCAGGGTGGCTGTTTCTGCCTCTGGGTTCCTCCCCAGGCTCTTGCTGGGCGTGGGGTCTGCTTCCGTTTCGTGGACGACCATTAACTGGTCGGGAAGGTAAGGCTGAGGCTGCTCCGGAGTCTTGGGGTGATCTGGGTGGAGGGAGAGAAAACACAGATGTACTTAGCTCTTGGCACTCTGCTCACACGGGCATCTGTCTTGAAAGGAGTCCTGTCCTGTGTCCGTCCTCGGGGGGATCCGGGTGGAAGGTGACTAGTGTTGGGGGCCCGGTGTGTCTCTTCCAAGTGCTTCTTGGAGGGAGAGGCCGGCAGATCCAGTCGGACCGAGGGGCCTAGGGTTACGCTGACTTGTGATAAGGGAAGATTTAGGGGCTTGGGCAAGATCTGCAAGCAGGTTATGAAAACACAGCTCCTGGGTGTAGAGAAAGGCCTGGCAGGCTTTCGGGGCGGGGGGTGTAGGTGAGGGTGATGGAATCTTGTCTTCCCAACATGCTGATAAACACAGGCTTAGGGAAGAAACAGGCCCTGTGGTCGCCTAACTTTAGGTCATTTCCAGAGTCTAAATTTGGTGCATCGACCCAAAAGGGAACCCGCCGCAATTTTAAAAAAGGAATTCTGGAGAACTCTTCAGCTTGCAAACCAAAACAAAGCCTAGGGCTGTGGTTTGCCTCTCCTTTCTCTAAGTGCTGAGTTTGCACACGGAAAGGGGTTGGGATTACCCAGGGTCACGGCTATCCTGCACTTCCCCATGGGACCACGTGGGGAAGGCAGGCCAGCCTCCACCTGAGGCGGCTAGTTTCAGACTGGCAGTTTCTTGTCTAGATGATTTTCAGAGTCCTTGGTGAGATGACGCAGGTCGCTGATTTGCTTTCCAGTGGCGAGTCTCCCTGGGTGGAATCTCCAGATGGGACTGAGTTCATTGTGAAAAACATCTTCTGAGATGAGATCCCAGGTGCAGTGAATTCAAAACCCTTCTAAGAGGGTGGTGGGCAGCCCGCTTGGAAAGCAAAGTCTCCTTTGTACAGGTCATCCCGGACCAAAGGTGCTGACTACACTGTGTTGGGTAGTTTGGAAACACTTGAGGTCTTGGGAATAATGGCAGATTTGTTTTTTGGTTGTTATTATTCAAGGTGGTCCTAGTTAGGTGAGTAGATTTCATTTCTGTTTTTTTTCTAAAGTGAAGCCAAAACAAAACTGCAAACTGAACACACAGCAAAATAAAGGGGGAACCAGGAGCACAGTACAAGCAAACAGCAGTGAGAGGAATAGGAAGGAGAGGAAAAGAATCCCCCCCACGGAGAAAAGGCTGAGCCTCCCTAGGAACACACCGAGTGTCTGCCTCCCAGATTCCAGCAAGACGAGGTGTAGCAAGTTCCAGTTCTTCTTAAGAACCATATCTCCCCCAGAGAGAAAGAAGGTCTAGAGAAAACCAGTGTGCTGAGCCTGGGTCTGCCTCATTTAGGAAGGGGCCACTAGGTGCTGTGGGCAGTAGTGGACCAAGGGACTTCAGGTGTGACTCAGTATGACTTGGCATTCTGGTTTCTCTGAATCGTAGCCCGCTTGTTCAGTTCAGTAAGGTGGTCTTCAGTAAGGAGAGCAGGTTGTGGGAGGCGAACGGGTTTCAGAAATGCTCAGGGTCACATTCGGACCCAGCATAGCCTGCTGATTGTATGACAGTGTGGGCCTCTCCAGGTTCACGTCCCGTAAGTGTGTGCAGATGTACAAACGGTGACATGGATGTGTAAGCACGGAGGTCCGGCTGCCCACAGAGCAGCTTGGAGATGACTGACTCTCCAAAGGATGCTGCCATGCCTTCAGAGAGCCGAGTGCAAAGCATTTCCCTTATATTGCCTCCAAACATCAGTGGGGGAATCTGTGTGTGTGCGGGGTGAACAGTCAAAAAAGCGGGTCAGTGCCTTCTCCCTGCCCTTTGCTGGAGTTTCTTGGTGATGAGAAAAATTAAGGATGTGGGAGGGTTGTAATCAAATATATTTTAAAAACAGATAAATCAACAATCCCACAAATACAAAAAGGGTTTCTTCTTCAGGAAAAAACACCCAACAATCTTCACAAGAAACATCAGCTCTATTCTCTTTAAAATAGCTCTTTTGCTATAAATTTTCTCTTACCCATCACCTTCAATATTGTCCCCATTAAAAACAAAAACTAAGAACTGCTTCCTGAAGGTGGTTTAGGACCTCATCCATGACAGGTTTTCATGGGGGGATTCCCTGGAGATGTTTCTGACCAAGTGCTAAGTTGAGAGGACCCTCTTGCTGGGATTTGGTGCTTGGAGGCCACACATTGGGGTCTGCTTCAGGAAATCAGGCATCTGGAGCAAATTCCAGATTCCTGGTATGGGAGCGAGGAAGTGAGCAAGCTGAAGGGGACAGTCTAGTTTTCTCTGCAAAAGGACAGGCTCCCCATGGCTCCAGCTTGGGCTGACGAATGAGGCAGGGGTCTCCCACATCCCCGGAGCAGTTAGCCCCCTGTAGCTTTGGATCAGGGTAAGCGGGAGTGACAAATTCCAGTAAAGATCTGGATTTGGAAGGCGCAGGTTGGGAGGAAGAAGGAGGCAGGCTGAGGAAAGGCCAGGAGACACAGCACAGTTAGTCTGAGGGTGAAGCATAAGAAGGAAACAGCGTGAAACTCAAAGGCAGGCAAAAGGCTCCCAGCTGACAAGCTGACTGCCAGGTGGGAGAGGACAAGTAGCCCAGGAAGAGGTAGCAGCCGTGTTCCTGACTGAGGCTGGGTGGCGGCCCTCAAGCCCAGTGGCCTCTGTTGGCCAGCTACTGGGAGCACTGGATATAAAAGGGACACCAAGAAGCACTGAGGTGGGAGATAACCTAGGCCGTGAGTGTTCCCCTTAAGTTGGAGGTAGACCAGGGAATAAAAGAAAAAAGGAGAAAGAAACCATTTATACAAAGTCCTAATGACCAAGCCCTGGAGCATATCTGGGGTTCTGGGATGCTGAGACTGTTGCAGGGGGCAGGGGGCAGAGGGCCTGATGCAATGGCCAGGAAGGGAGGAAGGGGCTGGGGGCTCAGGCGAATGGGGGTGGGTGGGCCCCCTCCTGACCGCAGGCTGTAGAGTGTGGGGTGCCGGGACTCTTGGTGGCTCGCGGGGGGAGACCTGCCTGAGGCGCCGTGGCCGCTGCCGCTCGAAGCACTAAACCCAGTGGCCGCCGTGGCTGTCGGCCTCCGACAGGCTGAACACACGCCGGCGTCCTTTCCTGACACTCCTGACTAGAGGAAAACACAGCGACAGGTCACAGAAATCCTTTAACAATGGGACAGGGGGAAGGACACAGAGTGGCCTGACGAGAGTGTGGGGGGGTGGCAGGCTGAGGACCCCCGTGTGTGCTCCTGACCACAGCCCAGGACGAGGCAAAGTCAGGATGCCTGTGAACCAGGCAGGACGGTGTGCAGGTACCGCCTCGCCAAGGGACAGATATAAGGGCTCAGTCCTGTTGGGCTGGGAAGGTCCGGGACCACATGCAGCATCTGGTCTTGGCTAGAACACATCTGCCCGTCAGTTTTTGACGGGCATCAGCAGCGAAGAAATGAAATCCTGACACGGCTGCGAGGGAGGGTAGTGTGGGCATACCAGCTGAGTGGAACAGCAGATCTTTGACCTCATGGTTCCCTGTGTCACCCAGTCACAGAGCCCTGGAGTTCTGGGAAAACCTCCCCTGACCCCGGCCCAAGAGACTGTGGTAGACTCTGGAAACCAAGGCTGAGTCCCAAGGAGAAGGCCTGTGCCCGGGGCCAGCAGCCAAGTGGGTTCCCAACTGGGGAGCAAAAAGGTCCCGGGCATCTCCACGGAAATGAAGGTGCCCTCTTCCCGAGACAAACTTTAGAGAAGAACCAAGTCTGGATGACCAGGGAAGAGAGGAAAGACTTCTTAATGGACGTTGTCCTAGGATGGTCATGTCTGGGAGACACTAAGCACTCCTGATTGTGGCCCAGCCTGAGGGGGACCCTGCGCTGAGTGGTGCCTGGAATAGGTGAAGATGAGCCAACAGAGCAGCAGAGAAAAACCTGCCAGAGACAATGCAGGAGACCACCAGGAACCAAGCTCTCGTTCCTTTCTTTCCACCTCGGCTTTTTCCATAGAATCCTGGGGGAAATGCCTGAGATCCATGTGGATCACAGTTGAACGTGCCTCCAAAGGAAACCTGGGAACCAACTCTGTGCTGAATCTCACAAGACGTTTTCTTATCAGAATCTCACCAAGAAGGCGTGTGCACGAATGGGATGTGTGTACGTGAGTGAGCGTGCGTGTGTACAGCAGTGACCTCCAGAAACATCAGAGCGTATTCCCACTGGTCCCGAGTTTGGCTTAAAACTGGGTCCCTTTTCTCTTTCTGGCTATGTGTTAGCTGCAATCTCAGCTTCTCAAAACCATGGAATGTTTAAGGAAAAAAAAAATAAAAAAGGACTGACTTCAGCTCTGTAATTTTCTCCCCAAAGATCAAGTGGGGGTCACCTGGGTTCCTCACTTAGCATGAGAGGGCAGAGCCGGGGACCCCGGACACTCGCATGGTGCAGAGGGTCCAGCCCCCCTAAAATGTACCCATGCAGCCCACTGCCTCCTCTCTGCCCCTGAAGGACCCCTAGCACTTTCTCTAAAGGGCAGTGGGGGCTAACACCGGACAGTGAAGTGTCCAGGGGCAGAGCGCTAGGCGGCCAATGAATTTTCCCAGCTCTTTTGGGACAGCACGTATCCCTGGTAGAGAATTCAGCTTTGACCCTTATGTCTAGCCCCGGTGTCTCTGAAGCCCCAGTTTTCAGGCTGCTGCTTGCTGAAGCTGCTCTTGAGAGCACCCACAACCATCTAGCCTGAGAAAGAACCACTCCTAGCAGAGGGTCCTGAACCCAGAAGGGTAGAACCCACAGGGAGATCCCAGGGAGCAGGGGAAGGGACACAGCTGTCCTCACAATGACTCCGGGCTCTGGCCTTGTGGACTCAAAGGCTGGCATCCCTGAGAAGTATGTGACCAGTGGGCCTCCCTGTCCCGCCGTGCTGGCTCCATGCTCCTTCCAGGGATCGATAGCTGGCTGCCCCTTGTGCCCATGTCCCTTTCCCAGTGGAGCAGGACCGGCTCACTGGCTGCCCCTCAGCAGTTATTCTGGTGACTGCAGAGTCAGGCGGGCAGATGTGCCAGAGGCATACAAAATGGGGACAGCACATTATGCTGGTCTCCTCGGGGCACACGTGCTCGGGCCCTGGGGCTGCCTATACCCCTAGCAGCTGGGGAAGTGTGCCAGTTCCGAGATGAAAAAACCTGCAGAGAGAGTGGTGGGGTTGCAGTCGAGTTCCGTGACCTGCCCCAATACACAGGCTTGGATAATGGGGAGAACAGCGTGTGGCCGACGGGGTCACTTAGCTGCTGGCTCACAAGGGAAGAACAGCATTCTCGGTTACAACGGGAAGGGGCTTGTCATCACGATGTAACGGTGTGGGGGGTGTGTGTTCAGGTGCATAGACACAGGTGCAGACACAGACACGGACAGGCAGAACGGAGTGACACTGATATACCAGCACAGAGCCCTGCAGGTCCCCGGGGTGGACAGAGACCAGCTCAGAGCGACAGGTCTGTTCTTAGATTCTGGAGAAACCTGTATTTCCCAGGGAGCAGCCGGGGCATGCCAGCGGCCTTGATGAGAGGTGGGCGGCTGGGTCTGGGACAGGGGTGGGGTGGGAGAGGGTGACCCTGTTGCTGCAGGGCACAGATGCCCACGGACAGGAGAGACCAGGCAGGCTTAACCCTTTGTGGGCAATGCAAAGACTGAGTGTCTGGACAAGACTGAGTGTGGGCATCAGAGAGGCCTCAGCTTCCCCAGGCTTGGCCAACACCTGGTGGTCAGGGACACGGGGGTATAGCCTGGGGCCACCTCACATCTCTCAGGAACATGCTGCCTTGGCCAGCTGGGTACTGGGTCTGCATTTTGGAGCCAAGTAGTTCAATAAACAAGTCTGGGGTCTTTGCTGGTGGGCTCCACGCGGGTGGCAGCGGAGCACCCAGTAGGGACTGTTCACATCTCCAGGTGGACCTTGGGCACCCCCTCTCGCTGCCAGATATGCACCTTTATACATTAACGAAGGGGTTGGTGGCATCCCAACCATACCAGGACAGAGCTATGAGAGGGTGGCCGGGTGTGGGCCTGTCCCAGGGAGCCGGACAGCCCCAACACTTAGGAGGAAGCTGGTATGTTACACCAGGAGGATTGGCTGGGCCACAGTTCAGATGACTGTGCTTATGAGAACCCCTTCTCCCTGTGACCCGAAACCGTGAGAGGTGGTAGTGGGGCGGGTGTACACTCTCAGCTCTGTGGTCAGTGGGACTTGTTCAGGGAGCAGCCTAATGTAGGAGCTGAGACAGACACCGCACAGGGTGATGTCTTTCAGTTCCTGTCAGTGGTCAGAGAGGAGCGAGTGGTTATGTGCCCCCACCCACCCTCCCAACCGCATACTGATTTTTTCCTACCCGGGAAGACGCGGCCAGTACCTGATGGGCTCTGGGCCGCGGAGGGTGTGGACGACAAGCTGGCACTGGCTGAATCACAGTGGCTGCTGCTGCTGCTCGGGCTTCCGCTGGTGGACGGCGGGGACGGGGAGGACACGGGGGGTGAGCTGTGCTGGTTTATGCACTGAGCCACCGCGAAACCTGCAAGAGAAAGCATGACATGACCACAGAGGGCAGGGAAAGGGGACACCCCATTCCCTAACTCTGTCCACCTCAGTCAGGACTGAGGGCTTCTGGAAACTGCACCCACCCCTCCCTGGAAGCCAGGTCTGCTCCACACAAGAAGGTAAGATGGGAATGAGGCAGGAGCACCACATTCCTTGGTGACTGAACCCGGGGTCTTCACTAATGTGCCAGCATTCTGCCCAAGAAGCCTCCCAGTCCCCAGTAGGAGAGGGAGCCCCAGAGACTGACTACCCTCAGTCCACTGAGGTCAGGAGCAGCAGAAACAAACACTCTGGCGAGAAGTTAGCAAGCAGAGAGCCGTGCATAGCTGCAGTGTGCTCTGGATTGGAACTGAGACACTGTGATCTCAGAGCCTTTCAGCACAGGGAGCCAGGGGGCCCCATGCTGCAAAGTCACAGACCTGGGTGAAACCTGGCTTCCAGGGAAGACTCTACAATGACTTACCGGTTGTCACGTTTCTCTGTGTCTTAGTTTCCCTAACTAGGAGCTGGGGTATTGGCTCAATTCAGAACGATTAGGAAGATTCATAGAGAGAACAGAGCACAGAGGTCTGGGGAGAGCGCTGTAGATAGTGGGCTGCCTCTTGATGATCAAATGAAGCCACTTGGCAGCCCAGTAGCCCCTTCAATGGACCATGGTTTTCTACAACTCTGATTCCTGCTCTTCTTACAGATTTTTTATTCTTTCTGAAAGGGGCTTGGCTTTTAGAAAGCCGAGCACGTGAAAACGTATAACAGGAAAGACTATGCATTGGCAGTTCTGGGTGAACTGAGTCCCCATGTGTACACAGAACCGCACCAATGTGTTTTCAGAGCTGTGGTCTTGTGGAAGCGAATGCTCAGCTCTGTCTTCCGAGGTGCATCTGGGTGAGTTCAAACTATCAACCTTTTAGCTAGTTAGTTAACAGTCGGCACGCCTCAGGGACTCCTCATTCTTAAAAGTTGGCAGATCTGTGCAACTATTGGCCTCTCTCTCTCCTTGTACAGAGGAAAGAAGAGTGATGAAAACTGAAGACACATGGAATCAATCAGTTGAATGGAACAACGGAACAAGTAAACATTAGTCTCCAATATGCCGAGACCAGAAGAACTAGATGGTGCCCAGCTCCTACTGCCTGCTCTGAAAGAGATAATATCAGAAGGTCCCCGACAGAGTGGGAGAAGACACAGAACAAAATTCAAAATTATAAAAGAGACTGGAGGATCCAAAGACCATGGCCTTTGGTCACCCTGCAGGTCTGGAACTGGACTTGATCTCATGGCTGTTTGTCAGGCAACTGGTAAATATGTGTGGTGAGATGGTGGTGGAGGGGCAACAGCTCACCATGAAATGGTCAATCATTCAAGATGGAAAGGGCAACATTTATCTAAGAACAAAGTTCAAAGGGTTGGGTTGGAGGGTGGGCTGGAAGGAAACAAGCATCACAGGGAGGAAGGCAGGTAACTACTGCTGCACAGAGATGAAATGAAGTGGAGGATTTGCTGATAGATCTGCTCTGCGAACCCTCACTCAATTCACAAATAAAATTTTAAATGAGTTACGCTGTGGGTTCTGTTTGTATCTCTCGCCAGGCCCTCCTGGTTTGGGGGATTACGTAAGAAAGAAGTGCTGACTCCAGTATGTCGGGTCATTTCTGGACCCCACCTTCCCCTTCTGTGGAATCCACAACGTGCTAGCTGAGGTTGGCCAATCCAGAGACAAAGCAGAATTACTGTACTTTGACGTTGGTAGGAGGAGGCATTCGGCAATGTCTTATGCATGTGTGGGGCATGAAGATTATCTATGACAAACATCTCCAGCCAATCCAAACAATGATAAGGAAGAGTCCCACAGAACCTGTTTTATAGTTGTTTACTTCTAAATCACTTCAAGCGGCAAACCCCCAGGTTTACAAGCTACTTTCATGCCTAAAAAACCAATAATAGCCCCTCACAAACCCAGACGTCAAGATGGCTCTTCCAGGGTCACCTACTCACCACGAATAGAGGGACCCAGAGAGGCTGGGACAAAGTCCGTATGATATCTTTTCTGTTCCTGACAAGGGCCCCAACCCCAATTAGTAAAGGGCATGCTTGTCACCAAGATGGTCACCAGTCCCTTAAGACACATGCCTTCCCTGGCACTCGAACCCTGGTTTACTACCCAGAAGACAGTTGGGATGGGACCTGTGGTGGCTGACGAGGTGAAACTGCAGTGCTAAAAGGATGCTACAGTTTCTTCAACGTGGGGAGTGGATTCGAGTCACGACATACATCAGCTAGTAAAGACTTGGAGCGCTTCACCGCCTCCGAAAGCAGAACAGAACACGGCCTAGCTGAGCAGAGGTGACAAAACCAATCTTGCCTTTGCCTGCTGATGCAGGAAGCCTCCTCCACACCCACCTCCTTTCCCACTTGCCTCGCCCCATCCTCAGGACCCTCTGCAATTTCAAAGACGAGGTAGCTCCATCTTGGGGTCAGAGGGTTGGGGTGACCCTGGGAGAACTTAAAGCTATGGCTTGAGTGCCCGACCTTGTTCCTACTTTAGCTGGCAGGGCAGCTCCTGATGGGCCAGCTTTGGCAGAGATGCCAGGGGCTTTCTGGAAGCAGGTCAAACATACATGGGCGGCCAACTCCTTGTAAACACAGAGACCAGGCATACAGATCATGGGGCAAACAGGCCTCCTGGAGATCTTCGGCAGCAGATAAGATTCTGAGCTCCATCTGGGTATATCTCAAGAACAGTCTGAAGACAGCGCCTTTCCCTGCCATCTACTTAGCTCCACCTCTAGGAGGCGCTGTGCGAGGATCAGGTCCTGAACTATAAGAAGGCCAAAGCACTGGAATACATGAAGACAGACTATATGTCCAACAACTAGGGAAAGGCCAAAGAGTGCTGCTGTCAAAAAGGCTGGTACAGGCACTGGTCTCTGAGTAGAGCAGGAGAAATGTCCTACAAAGATGTTTAGCTCTGTTGTACAATATTACCATGACTTTCACAGTTGTACCCAGACTCCTCGAGGCATTAAGAGAGCTGGGACTCTTTCTTTCTTTCTTTCACCTTTCTTTCCTTCACCTGCAGCTACTGAATCTAGCAGCGAGGCCATGTGAGCTAGAAATGGCAACAATATGTGGTTCTTTCAGGAACGTTCCTTGAAAGGAATTGGGGTGCACCTTCCTCTATTATTCTTCCTGGAATATACATGTGATCACCGGAACTCCAGCAGCTATCTTGGACCATGAGGATGAAGCACATACTGGCGATGGCGAAGCATTGAGCATTATGCAGCTCGGGTCATTGCTGCCTTTGTGGAGTCCCTGACTAGGATTTCATTACTAGAAAGGGTAATCCTTTTGGGTGTTTTCTTTACTCTGCTGTTGAACCTAATCTTGACTGGTACAGTGCTGAATGCAATACATTGTCTGATTTCATGAATGCTGTTTCCATGGGCACTAACTACAGACCTAAGTGAAATGAAACTCTTGGCAACGTCTTTTCTCCATGTATCAGGATGTTTGCTGGTTTTGTTTGGCTCTGAGCTTCCCCGGAGCTACAAGACCTACAAGACAGCGGCTGCAGGTGATGCAACAATTCACACAAAGGTTTCTGTGCTACCGACCCTTCTGGGGCATGGGGGATGGGCCAGGAAGGAAAAGTTCTCTGGCTGGAGCGGGAGTCTTACTCTGGAACAGTTACACCATACAAAAGTGCATTCCAAGGTTGTTTCCCTAAACCTCTGAACTCCAATTTGTACAGCAGAACCTGTGAAAGTCGGAGCCTGTGGAAGACGGAAACCTGCCAGAACGGGACAACAAGAACACTTCCCGCTGATGGAGAACGACACACCTTTGACGGGGTAAAGTGTCACCGCATCAAAGGTGGAACTTGCGAGACTGGGAAGAATGAGACTGTCCCTTCAGGCTCCGGCTCTTCCAGGTATCACGGTGAGATGAAAATGGAGCCTCTCTGGAGGGCCTGGGGCGGGGAGGGCACAGCGTCATGCCCACGGTGGTTTCCCCTTGGTCTGAGAAACTTCTCTGGCCTGACTATCACAGACATGGCAAGTGGACACCTAAAAGACGAGCCCAGTGGACTGCACACTCGAGTGCCTACCAGGGCCAGGCAGGTGATCTATGTGAATTTGGAGGAGGGTCAAAGGTAAAAAAGGTGAAGCTGTCTGTTAGGTGCCATCAAGTCAATAACAACTCACAGTGACCCTATCGTACACGTAGCAGAACAAAAAGCAGACGGTCCTCCCAATTGCCGTTGACTTTCCTTTGCTTGATAGAAACGAGTGTCCACAGACTGCTGTCTTCTACAGGGGAAGCAGCAGTGTGAGGCAGTGACTCGTGGTGTGTGGGACTTTGGCCTTTGTCAAGGGGGGTGCTGGGGGAGCTGGTAGTGTGGCTCCCTAGCTTCGCTGCTCCTGACTGCTGTCGTCTGAGACAAGGGACTTTAGTGGGCAGAGCAGGCTGGCACCGGAATGTATATTCATTTTTTTTAAAGAAGCAGGCAACCCCACACAAGCCAAATAGAGCCCGACCTGTGCTCTGGGTCTCCATTTCCAGGCCCAAAGTGTCATGTGTCCAGCCACCTTGCCCAGACTCCTGAGATGCGTGAATCTCAGACAGGCTTCAAAGAAGGCCAGTTCTCCAGAGAGCTCTTTCAAGGAAAAGCTCTGTAATTTGGAAGGGAGAGCGGTCTGTTGTAACCAAACACCAATATGTACGAGGGGACTGCAAAATGGGTGTGGAAAAACCCCTTCTTCTCAGTCCATTATTCCACAAACTTTTTGAGGCAACCTCCTAATTCTGTTTGTTCCTGAATGGAAAACATAACATAAAATGAGGGGGCTTGGGGGCGGTAGGGCAACTGCTTCTGAAGCAGCAGCCTCCAACAGTGGACAGCCTTGGACATGGCCGAGGCCGGTGGGAAGCAGGGCCCTGAGCTAGCCTGTTATTAGCAAATTCATTCTG